GGTTGCAAGGTTCATATTTACATCATTACCTTGAGTGGTATCAGATACATATTGTCTGAACCTCTTAGTGATGGGTAGATTTTGACTAAACATTGTCTCTGCTGTCTTGTACTCTGTTTTGGTAAGCTATACTGTATGAGACCTGTTGATGACTCTGCTCTTCACGTCTGGCGGGTATTCCTTGTACCACGATCCTCAATCCTATCAGTATATTGCTTTAATTTTCTTCACGTGTTGGTGATATATACTCCACACGTGAGTAGAATTAAGTCATATAAGACTTCTCAGCATACAGAGTACTGCGTTTCTTATAAACTCTAATCAGTCCAAAGAGATACCAGCTAGTAGTAGTATCTCCTTGATCAGTCTTCTATAAAACTGGACAAAATTTACGATATTGGTTATATAGAAACGACGATGAAAAGAAACAACTCTTTAAATAGGAAACAAAAAACCCGTCCAACTTTCTATATTATCTACAATTAGGTATCATTTATGTTCTATTCCAGTTTCTTTCCGGTTATGTTTATGCCGTGTTTATGCCGGGTTTGAAGGACGTATTACCCATTAAGTGGCTAATTTTATTTTGTCACGGAGTGTTCCATCTTGTGGATAAAATGGAATCCCCTTGGGATGTATCGCGTGATAAGATTGATACGTTAATGCTCGGTTTTAATGGGGAGACTGTTTACCTAGCTCATCTCAAACGTAGTTTATAGCTCTTCGTATTATTAGAACGGAAGACGGGTGAATGACTTAGAAGTATTAGCAAAAGAATAGGAGAAGGAAGAAGGAGATGGAGATGATGATGATGAAGGGAAAAGGAGGAAATAGAGAGGGAGAAGGGAGATGAATTTGAGAAATTCAAAGAAAACGAATTCCATGGAAATTTAGAAGAAGGATAGGAAAGCATTGTAGAATAAGAATTAAACGAGGAGCATTAAGAAGAAGAATTAAAGAAAACAGCTCAAGCATAGAAAGTGAAGAAGAAAAAGAGAGGACTGAAAAAAACACACAGATAAACTATAACAAATTATGAGGGAAAGAAGAAAAGGGCGGAGGGAATACATAAAGAAATATGATACAAAATACTGAATTATAAAAAGCAGCAGCGAAGAAGACAAAAGCGGAGAAGAGAAGGTGGGGGGGGGGGAAGCACTTAATAAGTGTCTATTTAGGATCTTATTTTTGTCCAGTTCATTGCTTTCCAAAAATGATGGTAGTAAGTTTAATGGTCTTGTTATGAAAGAGACGTCACTAAATATTTTGCCCCGATCATATTTACTGTATAGACTGGAAGAGCAGGACATTTGCTGTCAACAAAGGTCTTTTTCAAAGTGACCTCATTTTAGAATGTCTTTAGTTCGTCATCTTGTTTATTAGTGAGACGGGGAAAATAAGAATGAGATGGTTTAGTGCGACGCAAAGAGGGATTACAGAGAGGAAGAGGGAGGGAGAGAGAGAGGAGAGAGAGAGAGAGAGAAAGAGAGAGAGAGAGAGAGATAGAGAGAGAGAGAGAGAAAGAGAGAGAGAGAGAGAGATTGAGAGAGAGAGAGAGAGAGAGAGAGAGAGAGGGGACACCGAGGGGGGGGGGGGGAATAAAACTGTGAGCAGTAGAGAGCAAGTAAAAATATCTTCTTCTTTCAAGGAAGTGATCTGATATTTCAGTCACCGCACATCCCGTATCATATTCATCATGACATGTTCATGAGAAAGTGATATTGGATATGACAGTTAAGGGAATTAGAACTAAATATCTACCTTATATTTCAGAGAACAACCACGAATTGTATCAATCCATAGCTAATTCCATTTTAGGAAAGATAAGGGAGAAAGTGGTTGTGGAAAGGTGGGCGACGGCGACATAAAGCAGACAGAGTGGATATAATAAGATGGGGGGGGGGGGAGGGGTCAAGTGATATCAATGTGTAGTAGAAGAGAGGGATGAATACGAAAAAAAACTAACACAGTGGTCAAATTGTACTTCAAGATATTTACATATTTAAACGATGACTGGGAAAGAAGGGGGGTTGTGATAGGAGGGATAGAGATACACAGAGAGAAGTAGACATATATCAATAACGAAAGATAAATAATAATAATTATCCTTGCTTATATAGCGCCTAACAATTACTTTATCAGAAGTCTCTAAGCGCTCTAATAATGCGGCATAATTGAAGAGGGAGTAAGGTAAAGAGAGAGAGAGAGAGATAGAGAGAGGGGGAGAGAGAGGGGGATCAGAATACCACAATGAATACGTAACTCTCCCGATTCTCAATCTTTAGTAGATCTAGAACCACCCCCTATCCAGCACATTTGATTTGATTTTATTTTATTTTATTCAGACAATATAAAAATATATACATGTCTTGGGTTACAAAACAAGGTTTAGGAAAACCCATACAAGTTTGCATCCCAGATATGGACAGTAAAATGGCATACATAATTACACAGTAAATACTGATACATAATTATAACAAAGTCACTATTCCATGTGTTCCATGTTTTCACATAGTTTCCCACGCCTCTCCTCTTTACCAGCAGAAATAGCACACTCTATCGAATGAAAAAATTTAAAAAAATGGAACATACATGAAAGAGTGTTTCTGCTAGATATAATTTTCCTTCTGTTTTGCTATAAACACTGCATTGTAAAATGATTTATACGGTATAAAATGTTTGCAAACAGAATGTTGATTTGTTACATTACATTGTAAATTGAGATATATATATGTTTCCAAACAGAATATTGATTTGTTACATCACATTGTAAATTGATTTATATGTTTATAAACAGAATATTGATATACATCAATGAAGTTTAATAAATACAATACAATACATGAAAATAACAGTTATCAACAGGTAACTGTTGTTAAAGATATTGTAGTTGCTATACTAAAATATATTATGAAAGTTTGATTGAAGAAGTACGCTCTGGTACATTAATATTGATAGATTTGTATTCAAAACACTAAATTCAGATATCAATTTGGTTCTGTGATCAGATAGGAGAATATCAAAATATGCTTTGGTAATTGACAGTATGAGATCTAAATATTTTCTACTGTTTGTGGAAAAAACGAAAGAAGAAAGTCTTCTTAAAAGAGCATTATGAGGTCATTGAGGAACACCAATACTCGCAGGAAGAGCTTATGATTACACAGAATATATTTAGAGTATGAAAACTTCCTGAATCTCGAAGTGCTTTTATCTGACAGCTCATGGTCATTAAGAAAACCTTTATTGATCTGAGTACACGTTTAACATCTAAAAAAAATACTTGTTGACAGTATACCTGCCTTTAGAAGATTCAGTGATATTTCTGTTTTTTTAATACATTTTTTTCCCCACAATATTACTGTAAATATCGATGAAAAGATTAATGGCCGAAAAACGCAAAATTCCCTTCGCTTTTTATACTTCTGTAGTCATGGGGATTATAAGATATTTTACATTTGAAATCAACCAAGCGAACATTAACAGCGGTCTGATGACGCACGAGTATTTTATCTATATACTGTAGAAACAAATATTAATAATAGCATTCCTAAGTAAGGGCAATCGCGCGTAATCCTTTACAATATAATCGTTCGATTGACTTGCAACTGTATTTAAAGATTTTCCTCCATATACAGTGATGTGAATGAAAAGCAATAGATACATCCTGAATTACGTATACAAGCTCTCATCAGAATGAAATGAATAAGTTAACAACTAAATAATTCCTTACCCTTACCAAGTTTTGTAATTTTAAAAAGTATTTTAAAACATTTAGTTGTCCCCATTTATGTTTCTTGAGAATGTGACGCAGGAGGCGCGATAGCTCAGTCGGTAGAGCAGTGGTCTCGTAATCCGGTGACCCGGGTTCGAAACCAAGTCGATGCGCTAGTGCCCTTTGGTAATCCTCATTAACAGGTCCCTCGGAGAGGACCTAAAGCCGTCGGCCACCTGGTTGCTTACTTACAAGCATTTATACTTTCTTAGCAGTCAGGTAAAATAACCTCCACCACCACATTGAAGCTTACATCTAAAGGCATCAACATAGGCCTAGATTCAACCAGCACACCTTTAATTCATAAGTTACAAAAACATCGAATTTATAAAGCGTGTGAATAATTTAGTTTAAACTGTATTTAAACAATTCTCAAATATTTTATCTAACAGATAGCATAATAAAAATACAGCAATTCATCTAGGAATCTTATATTCAAACACAGTGGAACCATATGTAGGTCCATGGTGGAACCTCGTAATAAAGAACTCTGATGTAAAATATATCTTATAACAAGATAATTCTGTTACACTCAGTTCTTTTGATTCCCTAATATGCCTGATACATGAAGGTAATTTCCATCGTCCCGAGGTCCCGGGGTCCCTGTCATGAGGTGCATTCGCGATACGATCCATGACGCTGACGTAAACAAAATACGCCCATATAGCTAGAAACTGATATTTTATAGACATTTGCCAACATGTATCCATCTGTTTATATTTTATAGACAATTCCCCTTTGAGTAATGTTTCATGAAACGTAGTGTCATAGCCTTTCTGATTATTTGCCTGAATGTTGAGCTATAAGTGGCCTAGCGTAAATAGTTGTCATGCGAGGGGGGGGGGGCACTGGTCCTTCTAATATTGTTAACATTCGGTAGAGGCCTAGCCATTTTCTTCCAGTGTGCGTTTTTCTGCCTTTCTTCTTTCCCTATATTTCTATTCATCGTTCGTTTCATGTAAACTCTTTCCATCAAAGCCAAATAGTGAACTGCTATAAGAGGATGATACACATTCAATGTCGACCAGATAAAGGTATACGTGAATGAAGAGAAATCTTTAGAATAACAAATGTTATTCAAGTTGTAACGACTGTAATTTACCAACCATTCAACCTTGCAGCATATAACAATTCATCCTCCCAGGAAGATGATTCCGATCACATAAAAGATAAGCATGATGATGATAATACTTGTAAATCTTAGAACTGAAAGAAAGCTACTTACGATCGATATCACCACTCAATCTCAAGTTCTTTCTTATGGACAAACCAAGCAAGCGTTCCCCTCCGTCGATGTGTGCCTTCCAGTGGACTGAACTCCTGTAATGATCAAGACAGCTTGGAGAACCTTCTCCTCTTGCTTCCCTTTCTTCATCACTGCATGGTTGCTATAGAAACAGCAGGTAGTTTCATCCCTCAATCATCCGGCCCCTAATGGCGTAGTTCCTGGTGATTGTACTCAGGTAGTGATGAGAAGCAATGGTTGAAAGAGAACAAATACGTGTGCTTACTTCATTCAAGCACCGTGTGAAATAGAATCTCTAGGCGGTGATTAAGAACATTGTGATTCAAACGCGAGAAAAAAAATCAATGATTTACGCCCTTCTTATATAACGCAATAGAACAAGCATTCCGTTTTTCATAGAGCGTGTCCTATATAAATACCAATCCTATTGCCTGCGCTTTACATGTGTATTCCAAAATTAAGTAATATTTATGTTGGTTTAGGTCATGGATTTGGTGGAAAAGTGTTTCTTGGTGCGTGGTCTGAAGCCAAATAGAGAATAAGTTGTCTTTAATATAGTTACTTGTGTAACGGTATTAACCCGGATTGGCTTATGGGAGTTGAATTAATCAAATGAGGGGGGAATCAATATGCGAATGATGAAATCAGTGCATGAATGAATGGTGGCAGATGTAGATAATAGTTGATTTTTTACCATATCGGTACGATTTTTTAATTTGCTTACATAATATATACGAGGGGCGTTCAATAAGTTCATAGCCCGACTATAAAGGAGCAGGTATTCGGAGACGTAATTACGTCTTCATGAATATTTCATATTTTCTATTACAGGTGACAAGATTTAAGTTTAGCAGCACCCCCACCTAGGTATAAGAGCAGCCGTTTAAATTGGAGTTACTGGGACTTAAAAAATAAATAAACAAAAACAAACGTCATCATAGCTTTATCAGCCAGCTGGAAGGAAGCTGCTTATTTCTATATTGTGGAGTAGGCAGCAGCACTGTCCCATAAAGATGCCATCCAGCTTCTCACGGATATCATTCGGCTCCTCTTCTGGAGCACCATGAAATGGATGACGGCACGATGCTGAACAAAATCCATTAAAGGTACTATGTCCCTTTTGCAGCCAACATCAAATTCTGTAGAACTTTGCAGAAATTATGAATGTCCCATCTGTGAAATTTAAATGTTAGCAGTGTCCTAATTTTCAAATTATGCAAGGAAACCCGTTTACTTGCTAGACTTCACTGTCAGACACTATTGAGTGACTGACTTGCTTTTTTTTCTTCTTTGGTTATGGCATAGGTACATGAGCATTTGTCTACATCAATAACCCACTTCTTGTAATGGCCAAAATTAAACTGATTGAATCTTTGTGCAGCACAAAACGTACGACCATTCAGTAGAATGGTCTGGAAATCAGACTATTACTTACTGGCTCTATAGCTCTTAAGTCGATTTGACAACTAATAGTCATTATTTTCCCACTTAAAGACATTTTCAAGACCCCCTTTTTTTAGGGAAGTTCTAAATTAGTATTTACTTTCAAATGCCGTTGGAATTTAACCTTTTCATTTTTGTGGCCTGCAAATGGGACATAGTACCTTTAATATCGACCTCAATATCACATGTAATAGACATGACATAGAATATGACAACTTCTTATCTAAGAGATGATTATTATAATGATGCGTATCAAGGATGATGCTAACGGGCTCCCATTTGTTCCCCTCCTCCACTAGAGGAAGTATTCAAGGAGAACAGAATCATAATCATAAGGTTATTACATTGTTGCAATGCTGATTTCTCAGAACACGATTCGTGTGCAGGGAAATGTCAAAAAATGCTCTTGAGAATAATCACGTAAAATGTCTTTGTTCAAATGGCCTCGATTTCAAATGTGTTTCCGTTCTGTCATTAGGGAGTGTAGTGTTATATGATTATACAAGAATAAGAAGGTACATTCATTTTAAAGATGGCTTGTCGTCGAGTTGCATTGGTAGACGGTAAGTTGATATTAAATTAGCTGCATCTTTTGAAAAGGAAAACAACATGAATGGGAGAATGATTTAGAGTTGTCAACAGACAATCTCTTTTTTTAAATATTTTCCAATTCTAAATTTCAGAGCAATGCATTATCGTTGAGCAATACATTGATGGGCTTCATAAGCAGTTTATTACATTAACTGCAGACCATTTAAGTGGTCATGATATCAATTATCTACTGAAGTATCAACTAGTTTCAGTTTTTTTCCATCCCTGCGCTTTTCTGTATCTGATTCTCGTCTTTATTTTCCTTTTATTTTTCTCCTCCTCTTCTTCTTTTCAGTTTAACTATTGAATTCGTCTGCACTTCAACGGTATTTACATTCTCTTACAAATGAAAACGGTTTCAGTAAAGAAGAAGGAGGAACAATCGAACTACACCGGGAGCAAAACGTTTATTTCCCCGGAAATAGGAGAGGATAGAATTTCGATTAAAAACCTACCCACTCATTGGAAAAGAAATAAGAAACGACAATATCGGGTAGAAGCAGTAGTGACCCCCGTGGAAGATTATGGATGCTATAGGCAATGATATTGATTGCAAATCTCAATTATCGTCATCTGTTTTCTCTCTGACGTTTGAAGATGAATCCACACAGCATACCATGTAATAATCAATCATAAGACACATAAGCTTGATTAAAGCTCGTGAATAAAGGAGAATGTTGGTCGTCAACTCTTATCGGATTTATAAATACTCTTGAAAAGGATTATCCTCCCCTTTTTGATAATTGCGTATTTTTCATCTTTGTTCATATTATTTTTAAATTCATCTGGTATTAATGCAACATCATAGGAATACGCATTAAAGTCTGTAGAAAGAGAGAGAGAGAGAGAGAGAGAGAGAGAGAGAGAGAAAGAAAGAGAGAGATAGAGAGAGAAAGAGAGAGAGGGAGAGAGAGAGAGAGAGAGAGAAAGAGAAAGAGAAAAGAGAAGGGAAAAGAGGGAATAGAAAGAGAGAAAGATAAATAGGAAGGAAAACAAAAGAGAGATAATATAGATTGGCAGATAGCTAAATAGATTGATTGAAGAAGGGTAGAAAGATTAAGAGAGAGAGGGTAAATAAAGACGGAAAGGCGGGGGGGGGGGGGAGCAAGAGTTCACCCTCCTCAATTTATTTTGTCTTCTGACTCAAGCTGTTTCCAATTCTGACTCAAGCTGTTTCTAAATCAACACACACGTTTTATCATTAGGTTCTATTTAAAACATTTTTCCCCATTGGTTTTCTATGATCGTTTTTGTACTTTGGATCTTAAGAGTGTATGTTGAGAAACCATGATATTTCAATATTTATCTTCACAAATGCCATAGGAAAGGTAATCTTCTGAAGTAATACAAGGAACTTTTATGATATTAATTTTTTAATGAGTAGAACGTGTCGTTTCTGAGCAACATTCCAATATCAATATTGTACGATTATGTAAAAGATTGACACGTTTTTCTTGTTAATAACTAACAATCCGAAGCTCTTATCGTACTTAAGGTTGTGTAGTTTAAATCGGATGGTGTAAAATTCACCTAAGTTAAATACATAACTTTTCTATTATGGCTATTATAAGTATGTACTATGTTAAACAAATTCATGAAGTTCTCATTAAGAGTAACAAACAAACGTGTCTCATTCTTCCCCCTCTCTCTCTCCTTCTCTCGCTCTCTCTCTCTTCCACTTTCTTTCTTTATCTCTCTCTCTCTCTCTCTCTCTCTCTCCTCTTTGTCCAATTTTAGTTCCACTCTCTTCTTATATCAGTGTACGTTTTTTTATGGATCTGATTATGTTTGTATTCTCTATAACCATAACAACAGCTTTGAGCTTTAACATTTCAGAGATTTGACTAAAAGATAAAGTGGTCCTTAATCTTCCAGGCAGAACTTTAATAAAACAGGCCTGCTCTTCAGTGATCGATAGTATCTTTTTTAAAGTAAGGGGACTATTACACAAGAACAGTGTGTGTTGGAAGCATGGCAGACAGATAGAGAGATTTCCTATACGGTCTACGCCACACATTTCGTCCATCCCCATTCTTCTCCAATATTCTTCCGTGCTTCACACCAGTCTCCTATGCTTCACATAGCACCAGTCTCCTATTTCTACTCCCAGCAGCGCTCCTCGCTGTATAATGACATGTTTTCGTAAACATGAAACCTCAGCCTTACGAGTAATCGGAATACCTGTTTGTGTGAAGGCCCGTCATTCTGCCGAATTGATGACCAGAAAGGATGACCCCTCTGTATACGCTTATGATGAAACACGAGACATAATTTGATAGACGTTGTCTGTCACAATGCGCTAAACAAAGTGTTATTTTATACACCTCTGTATGTAGTGAGGGAATGCGAATTGTGGTATGAGCCTATGGATTGCAGATATGAGTTAGAATTTTAATTACGAATCGAGAGCTGTTGAGATATAGAAAAAGAAGAGTTAAATGATGTATAATTGGAATGGAAGCAATTCAGTCAATTCAGTCACGGTACGGTGTATCACAGGGTCACATCGTCGCGCTTATAGGCCTAATGGACAATCTTCATACGGATCGCCGATTCATTCACTTCTTAATCTGGTTGCATTAACTACATAACTGTAGCAAAAAAAAAGAAGAGAGGCATATCTTTGTTTGAATTGCTAACAGAGCATGAACGTTTCATTTTTGTAATGGAGGGAGGTTTTTGTGTGTGTGGGTGGGGGGGGGGGGGGGGGAGGGGGAGGGAGGGGGGGGGGGTCACATCCTACACCTCCTCTGGCGGTGCCTATGAGTCCATAACCTTTGCACGCCATTCTCAGCATCAAACTCTCTCTACTCGATAACCAGCATGAACAGGAAATTTAACATTCAACAATAATGAGCGATGTTCCCCTTTGATTTCAAAACTGTTGGCATGACCGCAAGATGCATCGATATTAGCTTATTCATTAAGCTGTCAATGTTAAGTTCAGTTCAGTTCAGTTTGGCTTGGCTTGGCTTAGCTAAGGCTGGTGGGTAATACTCATGCCAACTCTAATGTATCAATTTCGATGTCATGAAATAAACATCATACACTGGTTACTCACACAGTCTGCGAGCCCAGTAAATTGAATTGAATTGAATTGAATTGGTCTATATTTCATTCATCATAAAAAGAAAACCAGCGCTTCGTGTTCGCTTTAAATATTTACATTGTATCAGTCCAGCAACGTATGCCTAAAAATAATGCCATAGGCAA